AGCGGTGCCGGCAGGCGCCCGGGCGGCGGCCCGCGCCACTCGCGAGGTAACCGCGCTGGGCTCGGGGACCGAGGCTGGGGGGTCCGCGGGGCGCCGCTGGGCGTGCCAGTGCATCCTCACCTTCCCGGGACTGCGCCGTGTGGGGTGCGGGAGGCGTCTTCCCTTCCCCGTCTACCCCTCTCGCCCCCTTTCCCGGTATTTCCACCCACTTCCATTCACTTTGCCGGCCGGGGGTGGAGGGGCCGGCGAGGGGTGGCGGGATCTGGAGACCCGGAGGGGCAGGCGGGGGGGACAAGTTCCCGAACTTGCTAGCCGCCTGTGCGGGGCACGCTGACTCCAGGATTGTGGCGCCAGCCCCCGCGCGGGCCACGCACAGGTTGGACAGCGGACAGCAGAAAGAACAGCCTGGAGTTTCCAATGCCGCTTTCTCCGGCCCTCGGGCGTGTCTGGTGCAGAGACGGGCATCTCTGCTGTGGCGCTGCCTTTGCGCCAGTCCCAAACTCCGAGACCTTGCTCGGGCTCGTGCTAGGGCTGCGGGCGCGGTGGGAAGAAGTTGGGGGGGGGCGCGGGCCCCAGGTTCAGGCGCGGACCCAGCGGAGGGTGGCGAGGGGGGAGCTGAGGAGCGACTTGGAGGTGGGTGGGGGAGAGGGCTTGTTTTCTAACTGCCCCTGGTACTCTCACTCACGGTCACTCACTCCTTCTTCTGCCCGGTTCGAACACGGTGCCTCGCAGCACGTTTCTGTTAGGAGGCTAAAACGTGTTCTGGTGGTGCCTGGGAGTTCTTTCCCACCAAGTTCACAGGCTGGGAGTCTAGAGCTGCCGCCCCTCCTCTCTCCCCTGCCGGTAGATCCACCCCCGACTCCCTCCCACAGGCAAACTGTGCCTGAGTAATTCCCAGGGTTTGAGAAAGAGAGAGCAAGTAAATAATACAGACAGTGTGTGTGACTTTCCCCTCCCATAGTGCTATCACATCCAAGTGAAAGCAGTATGGATTTTAATAGCACTCTTTTTTCTTTCAGTTTTTCTGGCAATTAAGAGTAGTATTTACTAATGTTTATTTTTCTACACATGAACCCCAAACATTGCACGAATCTATCTCGGTGTGGTTTAATCTGCCCTGTTGCCGTGCCGCTCGGTTTGAAGGCCATGGGCTTCTTTTCAACTCACTTATACACACCCAACTGCAGTGTGACCATATTGAATGTTTATCCCTTTGCCTGATTCAGTTGCCTGCACCTGCTAATTCCGGTACATAATCACAACACCCATATACCTGTCAACCAACGTGAGGATAAGGAGAATGTTGGGGTTTTTTCATGGGCAAGAGTACCCGGGACTCCCATATTTTATTATTGCTCAAAGGGTTTTTTAAGAGCTCCAGTCAAAGTGAATCAAATTTACGGAACCAAATTGTAATTCTATCCAATACATTCAAACAGAATACAATACCTGGGCCCTTAGAGTTGACTAGTAATTGAGGAAAAATTAAAATCCTCTCGTCACATGGAAAACATTTAGATGGAATATAGTCAATAAGAAATAGTGCATAGCGAATGCCTCCAGAAAACGAGAATTTTTCCTCTTCCCTCATTTGGTTTTTATCTCCTTCATTACAGCAGCGTCCTCCAGAAAATAAGTACCTTGCATATAGATGTTGGTATGTGCTAACTAAGCATCATATTTTTTAATACAGAGGCTTGGTGACAGTCCAAAAACATAAATGTTTTAAATCATTAACCAACCATCTGTTCTCACCCACTCACTTAAAGCTCAGTGTTTATTTTCACAGGTATCAAAATGCACTTGCTCACTTCATACCTTTCCATGACCATCTTGAAAGCTGTAATGATACCTGATGTTGACCCGAGTTCAGCAACTGTTGAATCTGGCTTATCACACTGTAATCTCCTCTTTAAAAGAAAGCATTTTCAGTGAAAGAAGAAATGAAAAAAGTTTTAGAGTTTTGGTCAAGGCCTGTGTGTACGCCAGGGAAATCAGATTGCTTCCTACCCCTGGACCCCACCTTTTTGTTACCAGAGAGAAGCTAAAAATTAGTAGAGCTGCAGCCTGCTACTCACAAGACCTTCTTTCCCTTTCTTCCTGGTCATCAGGCTAGCATTTGAGGCTCTACAGCAGTGCAGTAAACAGCTTGTGGCTTCTGAAAGTTAGTATGGTTTCCAGAGGAGAGGAGCGCCTTCTTAGGGAGAATTCACAAAATGAGAGACTTAGTATTTCAAAGTCCAGATTAAGTGGACCTTCTAAGGAGTATGCATTGTTTCCCACACAAATATTTACTATGAATAATATATAGGATGCTATTATCATATCCTATATATTAGGATAAAATAAAGTGTTTATATAGTACTTTTTAAATTTGTGTTTGAGAGTCTAGATGCATGAGTGTGTAATCAGCAGAAAAATTCACACACCCTTCATTGTGTTCATGTCATCATTAAACCAAGATTTGAGATTTTGGGTCCTTTCCACCAAGAATGGATCTCCCATTTAGGGCTGTTTGCTCTAACTAAAACTGCAAGGATAGGGCATTTTGATCGTTCACAATTAAGTAGCATAATAAATATGTTATTCCTTAAGTGCAGCCAGAACATCAGGAAAATTCTTTTTACTCAAAGTCTGGGTGTGGTGTCCCAAAGCAGTTTCATATTTCTGAGGAAAAAGATAATGACAACTTTCACACTTTTCACATAACTGACAGGCGCTTGAAGAATTATCGAGAACCAAGGAAAAGTGGGGCCTTGTTACCTGCTGTTCTACTCCACCCTTCTCTCGCCCTGAAATTAAGACTCTCGTAACTTAATTAACTAAATTGTTAATTCTTCTTCTAATAGCCAGGATAGCATTGAAGAAAATAAACCTAAACTATAGGTAATTTGAAAAGAAAGTTGTCTTTAAAAGTATAGTCTAATTTAAACCTTTGGATACAACATAAGAATGTGTTACATCTTATTTTTCTGTATACTAAAAATGAATTATTGAGGGGAAACAGTTTCTCCATGTAATGTAAGCACTCTGAATTATTCATGCTAATGAGAGGAATAGAGGCAAAGATAATCTGAAATCATGGTTATTTCAAAAGTCATTTGTGTTTGTCTTTGGAATGGATTACATGTGCGGTTTGGAAAAGATTGTCGTTGTTATTGTGGGCAAGTTGCCTTTCTGATTATTTTATTGTGTTTCGGTTAATTTTTAAATGAGGTTTCATACCTCAAACACCAAAACCAATTTGTGGGAAGGTGGGGAGATGGGCAGCCTGCCCAGAAATGAGCTGGGTGGTATAAATAAGCAAACCTGATATGAAAACTCTGCGGTAGATTATATCCAGTTCACAGAAAGATAATCAAGACTTGATTGCATACCTGTTTAATGAATACGTGTTAAGGATTGGGAATGTTCTTGGCAAAAATAAAAGTATTTTAGACAGACTTTTGAGAAATTCAGTCTCACTTGACATGTACCAAAGGTATCGATTAATATGTTTCAAGAAATGATAATGGGGTGCTCTTGAAAATCAAGTAGGAATATATTAATTTATGCATCGTGCTAAACTGAATTTTTGAATGTTTTCCTAAAGCGTACATGTGCATACGGTGTTAAATGTCATTCCTAAGCCTTACAGATGTTCCTTATAGAAGGAACAGCAGAAGCCATCTGAATAAGGGGTTTGGTTTGGTCCATTTGATCTCTGTACCTATACTGCAAATCAAAAACACATTTCATCAAAGAGAAGCTCTCAAGTATCTGTTGTTACAGTGGACCTGGTTAGATAAAATAGTTGAAGTTCAGCAAGACTGCCAATTTAACAGATTTCTATTGTGCTTTTCGAAAGCTCTTGGGCAAAATTGGTTGTGGATGAGTTACTTGCGCAAGAAGCTGATTCATACCGTAGCCCTTGCCGTTAACCATCTTGCTTATCCTCAGAGTTTCGTTGTCCATAGATTTTGTTGAATTGTTACTTCCGAGGACTCTTAGAATCTGGAAAACCTCTGTGTAGAAGATTAGAACTGCCCACAATTTATGAGAGGAAAAGCAGATAACATCATTTTTATTTTAATAATTCACAGCAAAACCGTTACTTTTCTAGAAGTGTAGAGAATGGCAATAGAAAAGTAGATGTACCCTTCAGAATGGAGACCGTGTTCCTGTAATAAATATGTTCTCACTACCTAAAGTTCAGGGATACTGTTTTGTTTTTTTTTTGAGGGAACATTTTTTTAATAGGGCACAGCATTTTTTAAAGACTTGACTGGACTGAATATTTTAAAAGAAATACTGTGGTTGGAAATATAATTGAGACCCACAGGATGTATTTTATACACATTTATTAAAAGAATCAGTTTTCTTCTCATCAGTGCTTAAGTCTTAGGATCAAAATTATGCATTTTTTAAAAAGAGCTAGAAAGGAGCTTAAAAGGAACTTATTTCAGGGCCCTCCTTTTAACGTAAGGAAATGATGGGGGCCCATAGTAATGAGAGTGGACTGTTAAAGGTCACGCTGGGAGTTGGTGGCAGAGCAGAAACTAGAAACCTGATCTGACTCCTCATTGAGCTACCCTGTAGTAAGTTAGTCGGGTAGGGGAGTTAACTCTTTCTAGCCATCGAAGTATCAATGACTACGTGATGCTCCTGAAATGAGGGGTCCCGAGGTGAGTGCACAGGGCTTGTAACGGGCTGTCTTGCATTCAGCAGTCATTGGGATTTTCAGCCTTCTTACTCACTGTTGTATTTTTTAATAACAAGTATTTCATGTCACCCCCTTAGTATCCTGAAAGATAATAATCAAAAATACAGTTGCTGAATATACCTATAATTTAAAGGAGCAAATAAAAATAACCTGTAATAAAATATGTATTTCACTGTAGTAATGTTTGGGGATAACTTCACTAGGACACATGATAAAGATGTCAAGTGTTTGCATAGATAGAGAATAAGTATATATTTATAGAATAAATTTGAATTTAAGACAAATAAAAACATCAGAAGATATCCCATACAAGAAGTGCAAGAAAGTGAAAGAATAAGGGCAGA